ACTTAAGTAATTTTTTGTTTTGATTTATGATATGTATACTTATAATGTTGATTTTTTTATTTCAGTCTTTGATATATACTTTTAACTTACTTTTTACTTGTACGTGACAATGTATGTTTTATTCTAATTACCTATGATAGTTTTTTTAGAGCACGATTTCAACTTCACTTGGACCTTCCACGGATGAAATGGAAAGAGAACTTGTTCAACACTGTAAAGACTCAGGTGATAGATTTTTATGGTTTGACCCGTAAGCACTTGATAAATGTTGCTTTCGGGTATGGTGATAGGAATCGAATGCATCTAGATTTAACAATGAAAAGAAAATAGCTGGTAACTATTTTCATGCATCTTTAAAATCATTTTGTACGAAAAATAAATAATCATTTTGTCATTTTAAAATCATTTTTTTGGAGGCATAACCTGACCATCCGAAATCTAAAACAATGCAGTGTAGCTACACAGGCTGTTAGGACATTTTTAGACAATTTTCATTGTAATTACAGAAACATTATATCTCAAATTTCTAGTAAAGCCTTTTGTAGTATCGGAAGAGGAATTTTATCCCATTGGTCTCGAACAACTTTCCATAGTCTAAGGAGGTTTGCAGGTCGACATTTGGACAACCCTTTTTTTTTTTTTTTTTTAGCGCAAAAATACATTAGGGATAGATCAGGAGATTTAGTAGGGATATGAGTGAAAGGTGTGACATTGATACCCCTTTCTCGTTTCATGTTCTCCAAGAAATTAACAGTAAATTTTGACGTATCGCTGCTTGCCTTGTCTTGATGCAATTCTACTGATGGATCATACTGTGTGTAGAGCGAAGGTATTTCATATTTGAGAACTGGGTATAAAATATATTTTGCTTTAAGATTTTTTTCTCTTCTTTGATGGTAATAAATGGATCTCTTTTCAGAGCCGTAGCTAGAAGTTTAAGCGCCTGGAGGACAACTGAGGATTTTGCCCCCACCCTTCTGTGTGCCAAGAATGTAAAACATTTCATTCTAAAATTTCATAACATCAATTTGGCACCTCTTGGTTGCTGCGCTCGGTGACAGATATATCCCCTTGTCGCTGCTAGTTACGCCACTGGTCACTTCTTTTATTACAGTCTTTAAGTGAACCTAAGATTCGTTTATTGTGGCAACATTTTTCCATTTTTGTCCGGATAAATGTTTCTCATAAAGAATTCTGCAGCGCGTTCGGAGATATGTCGTGGAGAAAGACGATGTAGATTATGTTTCTTTCGCCTTTTTAAGATTTAAATCAGCATTGATCACTTTACAGTTGACATCGAGAATTTTAAGGATTTTGCAACTGTGCTTTGACTTAGTGGATTTTTCTTTTGTTATTAAAGATTTTACCTTTGCAACGTTTGAAACGTTTCGTTTTTTCCTTGGATACGTATTCGGAACAATTTTTCAACTTGAAGTTAAATTTTGACGTTTGTTTCCTTTGTTGTTGACAACAATACCTATCGTAGCCTTAGATATCGATCAGAAATATAATTGCAGTTAAGCGAAAAATTCCGAGCAGAAAATTTTTTTTACAGCAAAGCAGTCTATAAAGTGTGTGAAAACCTCTTATGAGCAATGGGTTTCAAAAAGTGCAAGTAGCACGGTTCTATAGCAGTCGGAAGCACTGTTGTGTTGATAAAAAGTTTCTTGCTCGTAGGAAATTGAACATGGATGAGACTGTAATCTCAGCTTTCCCAAACGGCAAAAACACTGTCTGTAAAATTTCCAGTGCGGAGAGGGGCCAAATAATTACCGCTGTGTGCTGAATGAGTCCTACAGGGGTTTTCGTTCCCTCCGCATTGATATTCTTAAGAAAGAAAATGAACCCACTTTTATACAAAGAGGCACCTAGTGAGACTCTACCGATGATCAGCAACGCTGGTTATGTGAATTCCTATTTATTCATAGGCTGGTTGAAACATTTTGTCGAGCATGTGAAACCAAGTGCCGAAGACCCTGTTCTGTTAATAACAGATAATCATTCATCGTCCTGCTCACTAAGTGCAGTTATTTTTTTGTCAAGAGAATAATTTTTCTTGCTCTTCCACCACATGCAAGTCATATGCTTCAGCTATTGGATAGATGTTTCTTCACCTCTCTGAAAGTTGCCTCATGTGAAGCTGAAAAGTGGGTTATACAAATTCCAGGAAAAGTAATACGCTGTACGAAGTTGTAGAGATTTTTCAAAAAGCCTATTGTGCCACGGCCAGGATTCAACTTGGAGAAAAAGAGTTCCCATGCAACCCTGACAATATCAGGGAGGATCGCTATTCTTCTTTGCTGCTTGCTATTGTGCCTTTGGATAATTATTTCTCAGTGTCAGCCTCTCCTAGAAGGAATAAAATCTCAATTTACACTTCAGACATAGATGTCAGTGTTACTCAGTCGTGCCACTTCCCAAACAACATAAAAGACGAGATAAAAAGGAAACAAACAGGTAAAAAATCTGAGATCATGACCTTCATCTCCAATCAGAAATGTGTTAAAGGGAAAAGAAAAGGATAGGCTAGGATCAAATAAAGCAAAGGATAATCGGGCTCGTAAGAAAAATCAAAATAGGAACAGGCTCAAAGAAAGGAAATGCTTAAAAGCAAAACGAATAGTCGTAGTCGTTTTGAATACGCCCCAAAACTCAGTTCCTTCAATGGATTCGGCAAACAATGAGGATACAATCTATCCAGCTTGCAAAGAATCATATGATGAAGCTTGGATTCAGTGTGGCATACGTAAGCAATGGTTGCATGGGGCGTGTTCCAGTTACGAAGGCCCACGGAGCATATGTATGTCACTACTGCTAGTCTTTTCGGACGCGTACTCTTGACCTCACCTTCTGCATACTCTTATCTGCCACATCGGGTAAGAGTACTCATATGGCCTTTTTGTTCCTAACTTGTTTTGATACATTTTCTCATTAAACCATAATTTCTACGTTTTGTATTATTCTTCCATAGTTATAAACTATAATCCTTTTTTTTCCGAAGGTCTGTCGTTACATGTCTAACTTTTAAAATGAAAAATCCACTAAGTGCGTGCTTTTACCCTCCTTTCCTATATAGCAAAACTGAAGACTTTGCCTTCCATTTTAATTTTAAATTATAATTTATTTCAAATATTATCAAATTCATAGGAACTGGATTTCACCTTTGTTAGACTGCTCTATCGAAGAAAGAAGTGTTGTCCATTAATACCACAAGTTTAACAAGTTGTCGCCAGATGTGTAAGTCGGTTATCCGATTATTTGCACCTGTTCCTTAAGTGGAGGCGGGAAAGAATTTTTGAGTAAAAGTCCACTATTTTCCTTTTTAGCTCAGTTTCCACCGACTGAAATTGGACATTACCGGAGTTCTCAACCAGGAGAGAATTTTTTCTTTGGAGAGGGAATTTTATAGTTTGAGGGGGAGAAGGCTCTCAACCTTTTAGTCAAGTATTTAGTTTTAGTTCAAGAAAGTCTTTATCAATATAAAAAACTATTTTTATTCAGGTTTTCGTACTTATTAACATTTTCTATATTATTTTTTGTTGTTTAATTGATAAAACACGTTAGAAAATAGTTTAAATCTAAATAAATTCACATATGTATTTTTCAAGTTTTGATGAGGGGGTATGATCTTCTAGCAATGGTGAAAGTGATGTATGGGGCAAAAAAAGGTTGAGAACCTCTGGTATAATGTCTGTGCAGTATGGGGGTTTTTTAAAATACTAGTGAGCCGAAGATCTTCTCAAGAGGTTTGTATTAGATGCGTCCCCCGAGATGTTCCCCGTCGATATTGGGATAGACCTTCCCCTTTGTCACGGATATAATTCGGCCACCATTTGTGGTGCACTTGCAGCGTTTTCGGTGATGATACGGTTAAATAACCGATAGGTATTGGCCATTCTCTAAGAATGCGATAATTTGCAAATGTACGGCGTCTGGGCCAATAACATTTTCTAGAGGAAATCGTCTTTGATGTAGTTAAAGAGACGACAAAAAATTATTATCAACATCCATTTGTGTTCAAAAAACTGCATTTTTTTCATCTTTTTTTGCTTCGAATGCTGATATCCAGATATTTTAGCCGAAATATGTTTTTCTGTTTAAATTGCAAACGTATCACTTTTTTTTTCATCAAGAAAATAGTATTAGAGGAAATTCTAATAACTGTTGGCTTGAAAAAATTATAATATGTAAATCTCAGATTGAAATCTAATATCTTGAAAAGTTTTAAATTAAAAAACATATATATATATATATATATATATATCATAAAATTCAAAAGAAGTGCTGGCTGCACTAGTCTTTTCGTGATTTTCTTCTTATATAATGTAAATTTGCCAGGTTTCTGAAGAAGTCCCGCACAAAGGTATTCGTTATCCTAAGTAAATAGCCTAGAGTGCTTTGTTATAATTGATTGAAAAAGAAACAAAAACATATCTTCCTGAATAGAAAGTAATGAAAAATGTGGAATAACGAGGAACTGTGGTTTCAGTTAAAAACCCAGTAAAATTATTCGAAACAGATTAAAAAATTTCACAATCACAAATGTGAAAATTTGTTGGAATATTATATTTGCTTAAGAAAAATGAATTTTAACAAACCAAGAAGAGAGAAGATGGAGAAGTATTATAATTTTTAGAATTAAAACATGGGCAAGAATCGTAAAACAATAAATATTTGGTAGAAATGGACGGCTTGCTCACAAAACTCTGTGCACATTTTTTATTCAGTAAGATTTCTTTTCACAATATACCATGTCGAAATATCTCCTAATTTCTTTTTATTCTTATTAAATAGGACTTAAGTAATGCCACCTAGGCAATTCACGGAATATTCAATGTTGTTTCTAAATAAATTAAAAGTGGCTAATACAGCTAATACAGCAAACGATTTGCTGTAGTTGAGAAGATAATTAGATAAATTTATAGAAACCAATAATAAATCAGATCGTGTTGAATTTTCTGATGCATTTTACTGTAAAATAATCAAGAAATAAAAACATATTTTATTTACATATTTTATTGATTATATAAGAAATGCAAAAACAATTTTTCTTACATTAAAATTACCAAACTATTTACATATTCTTAATTACCCGTCTGTTCAAAAAGTTCAGGGAAAGGTCCTGTCACATACGTAAAACTTGCAGTAACAGAATTTGTCCGTTGCAGGGCATTTCTTGCTACAGAAGAAATGTATGAAGTGGTATTGTTCGGGACAGCGTAGTTTGTGTTTGCAGCGCAACTACAAAAGCATTTTTTGACCATTCGGAGCGATGTTACATTTTGAGCAAATGAAGTTTGAGCAAATTATTTCGAATATTTTTATACCATAAACAGGCTCTTGCTTTGTCAGATGTGCCTTTTCTTGCCAGTTTTCTAAGTCTCTGACTCCATCGCTCTCTCTTATCAAGGTGATTTTATGGAATCCATATTTTTAGGCAATCCAAGATATCTATAATGATATGACGGCCAATTTGTTGACAAACATAAAAAAGGCATCCTGACAGTGCTTCTACGACTTTCATGAAAGCTGAAGTAAACAATCTACATTTCCATGGACGTTATTTCGAAGGTGAGTAATAACTTATTACATTTCAAACAGAAATGCTCTGCAAGATTTTTCCCGTTAACGTTTTGAACATAGAAATAAACATTTTAAAATTATGCAATGAAATGTACTATAAATATACGTAAGAAATACTGGTAAAAAAACTTCGTAACATGCATATAAGCGCAATTTTTACAACATTTATCCGAGTAGAAAATCTTTGAGATCTATATCCCGAATAAAAGAGGCAATATTTTTATCAAACAAACAAAATAATTACCTAGCACTTGATCGAAAATTGCACAGAGAAATTTCTAAAGTAAATACAAATTTTATACGTAGATTTTACTGAAGATGAACAAAAATATAAAACACTTCTCATATGATATGAATCAAACGAGAAATCGCAAATCAAATATCACAGACTTGATTAAATAAATAGTTTTATTCTAAGTTCTACCTCGTGCTGTATTAAGTTTTATAAATTAAAATTGATAAATGAAAAAAAAATGGTCTCTCATAAAGCTAAATCTATTTCATGACACACAGGATAAAGATTATATAGCACACACAAAAATTTCTAACTTACACAACTCTTGCGTTCTTATAGCAATAAGTTAACATTTATGTTTTAGTCTTTTCACATTTATAAAACAACGTTTGCTTCAAGCATAAACTCCAAATTTGTAAAACCTTTGTTTCGAGATACTTCGTGACTCTTACATAATAATTTCTTTAATATGAATCTGTCTTCTTTGGCAGCATTAATCATGGAGAACAATCTGGAAAATACACTATCCAGGTTAAAACATCAAAACATGCAAATCTGGGATATCAAGAACACGACGACATTATTTCTTAAAATAACTTTAGTTTTTAATTTATATAAACTACACCATAAACATATATAACTATAAAATAAAGAAAATCTCTAACTATAATAATCTCGCTCTTAGAAAAATGCAAATACGCTTACATACACTTTGTGATTCTTGATTCACAATTAGCAAGTAAATTTCAGTTATTTCAAATATTACCAGATAATACTTCGAAATTATGCGAGTACGAAGAATATAAATAACTTCCTAAGTGTTGTTCATCTTTTACGCCGTATTAGTTTGCAGTAAAGAATATCCTTTCTTCTCATTAATATAGCTTATCTTAATCAGACTTATTCTTTGTTCAAACTTAGACATGTTAATTTTAAGTAACAGCCATTAACTTCGATTGCACTAGATTCTAAATTTAATCAAAAGGTTTGATTATTTGAAATGATTTTGATTATTTTTTTATATTACAAATCTAACAAAACTGAACTTTTTCAGAAAGCAAAATTCTTCTCATAGTAAAGAAAATTAGCGCAAGAAATGTCTGAAATATCTTTGTCATGAATAATACAAAATATTATTTTAGTTTTTGAAATATCAAAGCAAGCAAATAAATCACGTTTGAACAAAATTAATCGTAGTTTTCACTGAAATTTTTAGAAAATTCTGACCATATTTTGGGTGCAGTTTATATAAACAATTATTTTAATTGAAATGCCATTAATAATAATTAATACATATATATTGATGAACATTCAAATACTAACACGAACGCTTTCCTATTTATAGAGCAAAATGTTGTAAGCCTAGTGTTCTTTAAATATACTAACTAAACTAATGTAGATATTTTAACTGATATTTAAATTACATATAAATAAGCGATAAAAATTTACTTTCATAATATGGCATATAGATATTTGCATATTCATCAAAGCCCGAGGACTTCCAAGTATACCCAGAAGTAAGTTAAGAGTCACTGTGTGCTCCAAAGTAGATGAAAAACACACTGTGATTCTTACTGAAATGGCTTGTCTTATTATGCTATAGCTTTTGTAGAAGGTTTTTTAATGAAGAATGACCGCTGACCTTGAACATTTCTACTGTACTGTACTACAATACTGTAGAATATTTTAACATATTGTATATGATACGTAGATATGATTGATATTGTCTTTTCATTAAAGGGTTCATCTTTCATATATCAATGATGAAGAAGCTTCGTTAACGGTTAACCGCAACATTAACTGATTCCAAGTTATTCGATTATTTAAATACATAGAGGTTTTACAGTAGTTCCTCCTGAAAAACTTATACATATTCTTGGATTTCAGTTGATTAGTAAAATTGTGAAGTTACATTATAAATTGTTAAACAGCATTAAAAGGACAGAAATAAAGAAATCTGGTGAGGACACTATATGACTTCCTTGTATGGCCTTTTAAATTATACACATTTTTTGTTGCACTTCATCGCATTATTCTAACTTAATTAGCGGATCCTCTCAAGAAAAATTGAAAATGACATCAAAAATTGCAAAGAAATTAAAAATCCAGGTCAATTTTTGTCGTACAGAAGTCAAGCTTCTTATAATTTTATTTTTTTGGTAACGCGTATGAAAACTTACCCAAATATAAGTATGGGAGTAGGGTGACTGCAATGAAAGTTATATTCCGTTATTTGTCCAAAATAAATTTTTTTATTAAATTTGACATTACCAAAATATAAATATTTTTGTCATTCAAAACACTTCTGTAATTGGAAGTACATGACTACGAACACTGATGGCGAAAATAAAGACTGCGTAAAAACTTTTAACCCGGGTAAGGGTGTAAGTCTATGTAAAAGTATATATACTTTAGGTACTGCCAATTGCAATACAAATGGGAGATACACAACTAAATATTATAGCAGTCCCATATTCAAAAACTTCCTACGTTCTACGGGTGATCATTTCTGAATAAGGGGATTTTCGAGATTACTTCGTACAAGCAAAAATCGATTTTGATTTTTGCTTGTACTTTTTGTACTGGATATATCGTGGCACTCAATGTGTTAAAGAAATCTTGGATAACACTCGTGAAATGCAACTGTGCGTTAAATGATTTAATTAAATTATTTTGAAAGGAAAAGTTGCTTCAACTTAGCATTCTGCTGATATTTTACTACATCGTGATTCACCTACAATATAAATTTGATAGCAATGGAATAAAAATAGATATATCAAGATTTAAATCGACGCATAAGATGAAATTTTTTTATTCTTTCGATTTTTGTTAAAAGGAGTTGATATTACCAGAAGTTTTGCTTTTAATTTGATTTAACAATTACTTGCTTTACAGTTTTTTACTATCACAATAACTTTCTCTCGAAGAATAGAATAAACACTACTTCACTTTCTCTGACAAAATATTATTATTATAATTTAAATTTTTTATTAAATATGCATATTGCATATTTGTCTTGAATGTCATATTCTATTCTGAAGTTACTAAATATTTTTCATACTGTTATTGATGTAAAATTATAGTTTCTGAAATCAAATTAAAATATCAATCAAGAATATTATTCTTCATTGTTCATTTGCAAACCAAATGTATTGACACTAATTTAAAATAATGGGATTCTATTATATAGCATATATTTTATATATTCCTTCGATCACATCATGACAGTAAGAACAACTTTTTTTTTCTTTTTAAAGGCTTTCTGAATGTTTATCAACGACTCACAATAAATGATGTTTTCCCTCGATATCTTCTTTGGGTTCTAGGCTATACTTCATCACTGTTTTTTGCTGTACTGAATTCGAAACTTAATGCTATGTCACTACGTGCTAGTTTGGAAAATTTTTCCAAAACAAAATTTTACAATAACTGCTTTATATACTCGTAGGCATCAAAATTTCAGGAAAAGTATTTCGTTATATGTGACAGGAAATAAAAGTTCAACTTCGAAAAACGTGTATTTGGTAGCAGAACTACTGTTATCATAGCGAGTTATGGCACTCTAAAGAATTTTAACACAATCCACCTTTACTGCGAAGCAGATTCTTCAAATTACATCAATTGATTCGGTATAACTGAATACTGAGTCAAGTACTTTGTAGTTGGCGCTACGTGAAAATGCGTTTTTTGAGACCGAACGAACCTTAAATTCTGCATTCGCAAACCTATGAAATCTTGAAGTCGGTTCATAGAAAGTAACAAAGTATTAAAATCTTCGAATGGCATCCATGTTTGAGATAATTTTAGAGAAGTTGTCAAAAGATAATATATGGCACTGACGCTAGTGGACGAACAATTTTGTACGTTGGTGCTATTGCAAGATTCGAAAGCAATAACAAGCCAGAAAATAACAACAGTTGTAAATATATTTTTCATATTAAAAGAGTTTCCCATCTTGAATCTCAACATCGTATAAAAAATATGTTAGTGCTTTTGTTCACGATAATGCTTTTGTCCTCGAGCCTTCCCCGTTTCCAAAATTTATAGGAGGGACAGAAATTTCTGTCCTTTCAACGTTCATTTTATTCACATGATCTCGTACCAGCCGAATTCTGTTTCATAAGTAAGCACATCTGTTTAAGAATCCTTAATTTTACAACACAGAAGAGTAGAATTAGGAAATATACCAGTAGTTGTAGGATATCTCAGAGCAAGTTTCAAAAACGCTTCAACGTGTTGGCAGTTGCAAGTGTTGTTGCGAAGGGATCAGCTCTTGGTCTTGGAGAATATACGACTCATGTGTGAAGTTCTAAACTTTTTAATTCTATATCATGAAAATAATAAAAATATTTTGTCTGTTTTTGGAAAACTGAAAATGCTACATAAAGTTTTAACATAGCATTCTTCTTACAGTTCTTGGAGGGGAACGTTTATTCTAATCACTTAAGCAGAAGGCTTTGAGGCATTGCAGTGTATTATTGACGGTGGGATCCAGTAGGTTTAATAAAAAAATTAATTCATATTTATCATGCATAATAGCCCCATATAAACGCACCCACTAATAAAAGAAGTATTGCATTTGCATTGCATATTCGTCCCCAGAATGGTTTTTCAATGATGGCTGCTGCAGCCAGGGTTGCTTCCTCTTCTGCTGAAACTGGGGCCTCTTCTTCTTCGGTACTCGTAGTAGGAACACCGCATACAAAATATAAAAGTCTTTTCCACCTGGGCATCTGGGATTCATCTGAAATGTAGAATATGTAATAAATATTTGAATTTTATATTACTAATAGAGATGCAGAGTGTTATTCCAATGTTTTGAGTTTAAGAAGTACCCAGTTGTTTGAATACATCACTTACTTAATTAGTAAAAATACGAAAATTAATTTTTATTTCTGATGGTAATAATCTGGCTGAAAGAATAATAATTTCTGAAAATGTAGAGAGTGCTCTTCATCGTAATATGAGATAGAGAGTGGAATTAAATCCTCATTATGACACCCAGGGAATCGAGAAATATTTTACAATGAAAAAAATCGAATATTTGCAAACAAGAAACAAATATGAATATATATGAATAGTAAGAGAAAATCTTTTGCACATACGTATTTAATACGACTTAAAAACATTTTCATGCATTTAGTAAGTATAAAGCTACAACGAAATAGAAAAGTATAAAGCAAAGTATGCGTGATAGCCACAGTTTATTAAGTGTCATGCATGTATTATCTTATACTAACTAACCAGATTAAAAATTACATCATATACATTTGTGGATATAATTATTAACTTAAAACACATGCCCGCTTGAAGAATCAGTGTGTATGCCAAGTGTACAAGATTAAACAATATGGTAGTTAGATCTGGGTTATAATCAGTGAAAGGGCTGGCTGAATGGAGATTTATATGGTTTTCCTTAACATAGGCCTGGGCCAATTTTTCTTCAATACTCCAGGACAATATTCCTACATTTATCACGTATCATAGCTCTCCTGTATTTTCAAAATGGTTATTAAGTTGACTTATATACTTGTATCTAATGTATGTTTGTAAGTATTTTAGGATTATGTAAACATTTATAGCAAGCATTATAAAGTATTAATTATATTAATTTTAATGATTTGGAATTGTACTATAACTTCTCTTTTTCTTTAGCTCTCACCAGAGAGCAATTGAGTTAAGGGTATTTAAGGCGAAGGTTTTAGATAGAGAGCTTTCGGCAGCGATACTTGCATTTTCCTCCTATAGCCCAGCGCTGCCAAATAATATTCCTGTTTTAGCCATTTGCTAACCGGAGTTAAATTACGCCATTAAAGTTTAAGCCACCTTAATTAGCCAAATTTGTATAATCTCGAGCTACGATCACTTTTTAATTGCAAATTTATCTTTACATTGTTTTAATATTCGCAAGTGACAGATTTTTAATCGTACCCACGAGTTGGTTTTTTAAGAAACTCTGTGAGGATATGGAAGCCGAACACTCGTCTTTGTTGTACTGTAGCAGTGCACAATGACTGTCTCCTGGTAAGAATTGCAAGAATTGGAGGCTCCCTTCAGCTCACCTGGACACAAGCGTGCCCATAGCTCAAAAGAAGGGGCCCCGTATCTCCACAAACGAGGGCAGCCAGTAACCCAGCCACCCCCAAACAACAAACAAAAATACTAAATAAAAACTAAATAAGCACATCTACACAATATTACAGACTAACACAACAAAAAAAAATCCATAACACAATTCACAACATAGAACACCACAGATATCCAAAACCCATACAAACAGAAATTCAATTTTTAACAGAAGATTTTTACCAGCGCCCTATTTTCATTCATAAACTTCATTAGAGCAATAGAATATAATTTAAAACTTAAAATTAATGACACTTACATTATAAACAGTAATGTTAAAATCTGTCTAATAGGGGCTGTTAAACTACAATCAACCACGAATGCCTGCATCAACCATCAACCTGACAACTATTACATAATTTATTTTCCTGCAGATTAAATCGGTTGAAATAGAATAGAAACCTACTATCTCCAGTTAAAACCGGATCAACATCAATATTGTTCATACATTTCATTTTATTTGTGATTTTAATAAGTTTCACAATTCCTTTGTTTTTAGGTGAAGAGAACCACTGTGGTTTCCATTTGTTAATGTAAAATTCTTTCATTCTTCGAATAGCAATTATCTTCGAACCTGTTACTTTAATATCCATTACACTGACATTTGAGACCGCCTGCTTGGCCAGACTGTCGGCCCTCTCTTGCCAATAAAGCCTATATGGGCTTTAATTCAATGTAGCTTAATATTTAAATATGAACTCAAAGTTTCTAAATGACTGTTAATTTCGACAATTAATGGATTGAAATTGTCTGGGCGGGAGAGAGCGCATGCAGAAGTGACAGGCAGTCAGTGTAATATTTACACATGTGGGTATAAACAAGGTATTTTTAATCCATAATAAGGCTTGTTCGAACGCTTCACTTTCGCCTCGAAAACTGAATTATATATATTCAACTTAAACATTCTATCATTCACCTCAGTTCCATAGTAAAAACAACAAAAGCAGCTCCTACGCTCCCTCCGACTGTCTCCTGGTATTATTTTACCACGCACTTTTGAACTGAGACAAGAAATTTTTATTTTTCCTTAAAGAGAAAAGATAGAAAGATGCAGAAGATTTTGCGGATGATTATTTTAAAATAAAACTGGCACATTTATGCCTCATTTTTGAAAAGCCGCATTCCCTTAATCTCTCTCTCTGCAGCGAAAACAAATGCACCCTTTGAAATCAACAGAAAAAATGTCAGCTTTTATATATTAAAAAATAACTGATATTATGGAGAAGAAAACTGAATGAAGATGCGGGCAAAAATAATTTTTTAATGTCGTAGCAATTTTTGATGTTAAATGAACTTGATCTTTTTCAAGATATAAAAACCATGTTTGAAGGGCACTAACCACAGCTAATTATTTGGTTTGAGAAATAGTTTCAAAATGGAAATTTCGTTAGATTTGCATGGATTCAAGATCCATTTAATACCAGTGCTTCCTCTGAATTTACTTCTGCGGAAGAAGAGAATCTTATCGAGTTATCTTGCAACCATAGTTTCAAAGAAAAATTTGGCAGCATGAAATTGACGGAATTTTGGATTTCAATAAAAGACGAATATTTCCTTTTAACTGATAAGGTTCAGTGGATTTCATTTCCATTTTTGACGTCGTTTTTGTGCGAAGCTGGGGATTTTGGCTGTCGCTGTAATAAAAAGCAAGTACAGAGCAAATCTCAACGTGGAAGGAATTGACGGTGCCAGTGTCCAGTTAAATTCCATTATTTGAGAAAATGTGCAGTAATTTGCAGGCTCATCCATCGCATTAATTATGAATTTAATAGTAATAATACGTATAAGGAAAACTTCAAGTAATGAAGGTACACGAGTTTTATTTATTAGTCCTTTTGTCCCTGAAGGACTACTGTTTTCGTTTTGCGATATCGCGTTGGTTCACTATAAATGTCCGTTTCACTTTTCAAACTGTTGCCCCCAAATGTTAGAGTCCTGCATTATACTTGAAGAAATTAAATAATGAAAAATCTGCGTAAATGTATGCATATTTCTCGCATTGTGATAAAACAACGGTACCTAGAGCCATCCAATTCTAAATGACGTAATCCTACTGCGAAAATGGGCATGTGGAAGCCCATAAAGGTAACAGGCCAAATGTTAAAAAAACACACCTTTGGGCGTAATTTAAAATCTCTGAAATCTTTCAGATTTTTATTTTTTATTAATATTTTTTTATCTTTTATTTACGCTTAGTTATACTTTTTCTTAGTGCAGGTTGCCACGGAAAAAATATAATTGAAAAAAGTCGTCGTGACTCGGAGAAAAGAATTCGTAAGTAGAACTTTTGGCGACTGCTGACCGTTTCATTGCCACTTTCGCCCAGATTTTATCTTTACATTTGCTAACTGTATTCACTCGCTTTGTTCGAGAGCTTGAGCCAAAACTTGCGAAGAAGCAACCTGCCTTGTGAATTTTCAGTATTTTAAATATAATCGAGTTTTACGTTACTTTGTGTTCTGTCAAATCTCGCAAGCTCTGCTACTTTTACAAAGTTGTGTAAATTTGTTAGATTGAAGTTCTAATGGAAATCTTTTTTCAAAAAAATCTCTTGACATATGATTACTTGGATACTTGACATACCTAAATCTCCCGTGACACTGATTCATGGGAGATTTAGGACGGGGCGATAAGTCACCAGACTAGCCTTTCAAAGCCAAAATTTAAAATCTAAATAGTTAAGTTCTCTACAATATATTTATATAATTATGTATTTTTATTTGAAATTTCGCATTGCCATTCTGCATTACTTTTCGATGAATCCTACATAAATGGAAAACGAAAAGAAAGAATTTCGTTTTATAAGCAAATTACATTGATTAGAAACTTCATCATGCATTTCTTAATTTCATCAAAACAAATTTTAAATTAAACTTCTTAAAAAAATCTGAAAGGTTTCAGATTTTAAATTACGTCCAAACGGGCGTTTGTTAACATTTTGTGTGTTATGTTCATGTTCTTCGCCCTTAAACCATAAAATTCAGTTCAAGAGCAATATCACAAAATAATTTTAAAATGAGCATATCTTTAGAATTTCACATATATAGTCTCACGCGCTGGTGATAAAAATGTTTTTTTCTGTACAAATTTGCCATTGCTCGCTTTGAAATCCTTGAGTTTGTTAATCAAAAATTCGTCAAAGTTTTTAAAAATAGGAAATCGATCATAAAACAATTCCAAATTTCAAATTTGGTCTTCCACATGCTCATATTCGCAGTAGGATTACGTTCATTCAAAATTCGATGACTCTATGTACCGTTTTGTTTTATCACAATGCTAGAAAAATACATGCACTTATGCAAGTTCTTCATTATTTAATTTCCTCAAATATAATACAGGGCGATAATATTAGATGGCAATAGTTTGAAAAGTTAAACGGACATTCAGAATGATTCGACACAAAACAGCAAAACGAAAACTATAGTCCCTCTGGGACAAAACCCCTTTGGACTAAAAAAAAGGTTACAGCTGAAACCATTGCGGCAAAAACATCGCGGACAAAAATGTCGCGGAGAAAACAACGCAAGGCGAAAACGTCGTGATACAAAACATCGTGGGAGAAAACATCGCAAAGAGAAAACTTCGCAGTTCTAAAACATCGTGATACAAAATATCGTC